CTGCTGCTGCTGCTACTACTGCTGGTGCTACGACTACTACTACGACTTCGACAAATACGACGACTACGATGACTGCTACTGTTTTTCCTCCTCGGCCTGCTACTACTACTACTACTACTGCTGCTGCTGCTGCTACTACTACTACTACTACTACTACTACTACTACCACCGAATCTACTACGACTACCGCGACCACGACTGCTGTGGCGGCAGCCGGGCCTGCGGCCGCTGCTGCGGCGGCTGCGACTACGACTTCGACTACGACGACGACGAGAAAAAGACGGCATGGTCTTTGATTCCTGTTGTCACCACCTGCGTTTCTGAGGGTCGAGCATTTCACCGACATCACGGGCACGGATGGCCAAGCGAGCACCTTCCAAAGCCACCTGCATGTGAGGCATCGCAAGGCCACAGAACGTAGACCGGGACATCGTCCCACACGGCCATGTCAACACAAAGTCGTCCGGCACACTTTTTCCGCCGTCTTTTTTGATGCTGCGCGCATCTTGGCGGCTTCACGCCAGATCTGCTTAAACGACCTCGGTACATTCTAGCGGGATACTCTACAGTCTCTGCAAGCAGATGTCCTGAAATCGCAACATGGAGAAATCTCGAAACCCCAGAACCTACCCCGCTACAGCCCGCAACCCGACACCACACATTCCCAAATCACGAAAAATTTAATATTAACCTAAACCGCTCACCCCTAAAGCCTTACAAACCCTAAACCCTAAACCCTGCTGCTCACAGGCCAAGGGACCTTTCTTTGCCCTGGCGCAAGCCAAGGAAGATCTCCTGGGAGAAAAGGCCCCATGTCGGGGTTTAGGATTCGGTTTAGGGTTTAGGGTTTAGGGTTTAGGGTTTAGGGTTTAGGGTTTAGGGGCCTACAGAGCTTTGGCGTTTCGTTTTTTGTTGGAGCTTTGGAGCGTCCAGTTTTGTAGGGTTGGGGTTTACATGCTTTAACGTCCGTCGCCGTCTTAGTGCTTTCGGGTTTATAGGCCTTTTTGGTTGTGGAGATAAATGCTTCCAACCAATACAAGCTTCGCGCGGCAAGCTCCATTCTTCTGTCAAAGGTGTGCGAGCTGTGCGATAGTAGCCATGCATGCAGCTTACATCGGGCGTGTGTAGCCCATCGTGACTTGATCTCCGTCGAGCACAGAGGGAATATGGCGGGGGATTATTTCCAAACAAGCCTCACGATGCCTTACTCAAAGCCACTGTACCACATACGACTCGTACGACCACTCCAGCTGAAGCAACCTCTCAGGCCGCTTACGGAGGAGCCGCCTTCAGACACAGGTAAGTCACAGGTACCCTTGCATTTCTCAAATGGGGGGCTTCCGAAAATAGGGGACCCTAATATAGTACCCTAAATCCCAGAATAAGGTACCCTAATTTTCGGAAACTCCCAAATCTCTCCGGGGCACGAAATTCCGCAGCAGCAGCGCAGCCTCCTCGAGTCGGCAGGGAGTGAAGCCATCGGGCGGATCGCCCTGAGACGAGGCTTGGCGGGGTTTACGGTTGAGCGGTGTAGGGGTTTAGGGGCTTCGGATTTACGGTTTTAGGGTTTAGGGTCTAGGGTTTTAGGGTTTGGGGTTCTGCCGGGTAGTCTGCCAAGGAAGCTTTCGGAATTGATGCCAAGTTCCTGTGGAGTTGCAGTGTTCTGTAGTCGGGGCGTGGTACACATGGCGACTTCACATTGAATGGAAAAACAATAGGCACGAGTTAAGTACCTAAATCTAAAAAACAAGGATAACTGCCCAAGGGTCGCCTGAACCCAGAAACTAAAGACAAATTTTACAGGGCACTTCCAAGACTCTGCGCTGCAGCATGGATGACTTACTTAGGATACTTCAATCCTCGCTTGGCTCTTCTTAAACCCCAAGCCCCTAAACCCTGAATCCCCAAACCTATCCGCAGACCCCTAAGTGAGGGTTACGTCCTAGCTGCTCCCACGTCGAGCCTTCGAGAGCCGCTTCAGGAACCTGGGCGCTGGAGGTTTTCTACCTTCTAAAGGCTCATCTGTGCATATGTAGAGATACACATATACATATGCATATCCGTCTGCGGAATTACGACATGCACATACATACATCAATACATGCATGATTCCTTCCCCCATTCATGAAATGTCCCCCCTTGACAATCAAAAACACTTTCCGAAAAATCCACCTGAAATTCGTCCCCCGCCTTTTAAAACCTATATTAAATTCGGGAGGTTCAGGAGCGAGAGCACGCGAGCGAACAGCAAGAGCAGGAGCAAGAGTGGGAGAAACACCCTCAACCCATCTCAACCCTAAACCCTCAAAAACCCCAAAAGCCAAGAGCAGGAGCAATAGCCGCAGCGGGAGTAGGAGCAACAGAAAGAGCCAGAGCAAGATTCCCTCAAAGTGACAGTAGAGATAACCCCCCGTAATAATAATGCCCCTTTTCGAGTTGTTATTGGGGGCCCCCCTCCCTTTAATATTAGGGGGAAGGGATTACATGCCTTTACGCATACATGCATACAGACATGCATGCATGCACGGGTGCATACTTGTATACATAGGTACGTACGTACATGCATCCATACAGACACGCCGATTCTTGTAGTTGCACGTCCACGGGCTGCTAGCTGCCATCAAAAGGCTCGTAGCGACCAGTGCGCTTTGCAGGATCTGCGGCCTCCTAGCCAGAAAACAATCCGTGCAGCCAGGGTTTAAGTTAGAAAGTTCAGCGATTTAGGGTTCAGGACTTATGGGTGTAATTTGGGTTTCGGGGTTTACTGTCTGGGGGTTTAGGGTTAAGAACTTGGGGCTTTTTTCCGGACTTAGGGTTGAAAACAGCAGAACTATATAAGGGTATGATACGGCTGTCGTGGCACCAGTATTGGTGCTGGGACTACGATGTGCAACGCCTTTTCTGCAATAATCCCCCTCTTGCAAGCCCGTACGAACCCAGGTAGAACTGGGACCAGGACGTATGACTCTCTCACTGTAGCTGTCTGTCACTGCTGCAGGAAAGGACATGAAACCACCACGGACAGTGAATTTACATGTCTGCGAAAAACCCTAAACCCTAAAACCCTAAACCCTAATCGTTGAGAGCCTTCTCCCGAAGAAACCGCTTCAGTAAATGTCCGAGATGAAGCGGGAGCTGCGCCCATGGCTGATCCGGGCCTCAGGACTCTGCGATTGCCGAATGTATATATATATATATATACCTATATATATATATATATTACACACACCTATTCATACATATGCATGTGCGTGTGTATATATATATATATGGCTTCTTTTGGTTTCTCCGAGAGATAGAGCAGCAACATATGCACGAAGCTTCAAAAGCCCTGCACACTATAAATCCTATATATAACGAAGGGGGATTGCAGAACATCGTAATCTTACACCTCATATCAATGCCTTTTCCTTCACTAGGAGTTCGCATTTGTACTGCACAGTGTGCGCTTTGCGATAGCAGCCTTACAGTGCTGAGATAGTTAGACTGGTAACTAGCGCCCTGAAAAGCGTGTTGCCGTGCCCACCATGGAATGTAAACGGAATACGCGGAGCCCAGAAGTCACGAATACCGTAGCCTGGATGGTTCCGGACGGGGGACCTGTGTAATGTAGGGGCCTTAATAATTGGAGTAGGGTTGTGGGGTATATTATACTACAATTTTATTAAGGAGCCCCCAAAATAGCATGGGAAATTATTTAGGCTTCTATTTTAGGACTCTTCTGGGGAGTGGGGTCGAAGAAAGGAGCCGTGTAAGCGGACAACATACAGCACGACGAGCTTTCGTATGGCGCCGTATACCCCGAAACCCCCCTAAACCATAAACCCTAAACCCTAAACCCCAAACCCTAAACCCTAAACCCTAAACCCAGAGTCTGCAGCTTAAAGGCCCCCATGTTACGTTACATGTAGTGCAACCCAGAAGTCAAGCACTGGTTACTGGCCATTCTGTGGATCGGAACAGAACATGCGGGTGCTTTAGCGGCCGTACCACTGTAAGTAGAATAGGGTTTGATGAGGGTGTTATCAAAGCTTTCTTCGGGCTTTAAAAATTTTAGTACAGGCCTCAATAACTAGGGTTGGGTTTAGGTGTCTATGATAGTATCGTGCTCTACTGACACACAAACTGATGGGCCTGTTATTACCAAGTTTGGACCCCTATACTACTGCCATGAACAGTATCTGGAGCGATCGTTACAAGAGACTGGGAAGGTGCTCATCCATTTCCTTCTCGAGCGCCCGAATTCAGGACTTAATCAACATCCATCGGTGGGGTGATCTTAACTTAAACATGGCCTCGCCAACCATCGTAAGCAGCGGACCATCCACTTCGCAGCAAAGATCCAAGTAGCCTGAGGCACGGCCAAATGCAACAAACCAGTCGAACAACCAACATCCCAAAAAACACCACTCCAGACGATATCGCACATAGAACACGATGCTTCCTTGTGGGAACGGCGTCGGAGTTTCTGTGGAAAGCCGGCACTTTGACACCACTATACACCACTGAACCTCTTCAAACCATCCGGAGTTGGAGCCGAAGTGTAAATTCACCTCCAGGTGACGGCGCGCGTGCTCGCAGGCGACAGCCACGGCGGAGCTCCCTGCTCTTACCGCTTGGAACATGGGTTTAGGGTTTAGGGTTTAGGGTTTAGGGGTTTAGGGTTTAGGGTTTATAAAGGGACATGCACTCAACGTTCTGTTCAAGAAAATGCTCGGCGCCTTGTATGACATCCGTACGCATGAGGCTCGGATCTGCTAGAAATGCAGTGGCAATCCTCGGTTCATTGTCAAGCAAGGGCACTCTCATGATGCAAGGGCACTCTCATGATGCTTTCAGGTTCTTTGGGAGTATTTGGGGCTTTCTGCTAGCGACTCCAAAATGAACAACTCTTGGAATCCTTCTACTCACGCAATACAGCGGCAACGGGAAGCTGTTCAGACTGTGGACCTCGCGTACAGCAAAAGGCCCTGGTTTCAATGCCCACTGACTGTAGCTATGAGTATGACGGTGATAATTATGGGCGACAGTACCTGCTGGCCGAAAAAGCTGCATTCTCCATGCCCTTTGCTTCCGCCACATTCAAGCAGTGCATACTGCATTCCATCTAAACCCTGCGTACACTCTCAGCCGAAATTCTTACGCTTGTGGCCCTCCGGCTCTGAAGCATCAAAACTGCACAACTTTTCCGGCAAGACCAAACTAAGACTGACGGATTTGTGACAGCACATGCTGCTCTACTGAGTTTGGGGATTCCTATAGAATGTCGGCGTGAACTCACTTTCACTGCGGCTCGGTCTTGCCCTGCAGGTATCAGCTCATTGGGATGTGCTGTATTGAGTCCGGAGTCAACCTGATGGCAAATACTATAATCTGTCATGGTTTGTGTATTTGTGGATGACCCTGATACGGTTTCGACACCGACGTGACTAATTACACCGTACAAGCTGAGTGTCATTGCTGCGGCGCAGCCAGTTTGCTGCAGCACCTGGGCGCTCAGAACGCTCCAGTCAGCAACAAGTCTGAACAAAGGCCAGCTAGCAGTGCAATTGAACACCTCTGAGATGCATGCTGCATCTGCGTGCGATCGACACGTCATGCCTCCATTGACTAGCCTTGGCATGCAAGTCAAGTGTATGCCGCGGAGTCAAGGCATGACAAGCCACATACGCAAGCAGCGAGTTTCTGCACGAGGACAGGAAACAACTGCACATGCTTAAGCCTTAAGAACCCCTGCTTGTGAGCAAGGTGCACAGGAATATCCACCGCAGCTTGGACCTTCGCCCATAACATGACGGTTTGTGTTGTGGCGGAGGTCTGACTTCAGCACAAGCTCTGTTGACGTGAAACGGGCTGCATGTGGACATTCCGTGTTTGGTTTTGAGATACAACAAACAGTAGTAGTACCGCAGCGTGCCATAAAGAGCATGGTGATCATGTTTGTGCAAACTGAAGAGAGCTTCAGTGCAGAGATATTCGTAACACCATGTAAACGCATTCCCCTTAGCCCTAAACCCTAAACCCAAGTTCTGGGTTGCCTCACGGATGGCCACGTAGTCCACGGGCCCATCGTTTTTTTGCGCCCGCGTGCGGCCGTGAATGGCCATGAGGGTGCATCCTCGCGCAGCTGAAACGGTTTTAAGCGAATGCCTTGGTTATTTCCCCAAATTTAATCTCAACTAAGCACCACAGACACAGCCGGAAGACTGGCTCGGCTAGTCAAAAGGCAGCTTTCTCAAGAACACGAAGCCCAATTCATGCACGGCCCGTTGATTGCCGTACCCTGCTGACTGGGCGTGCCTGCAGCAGCCAGTTGCTGCGCGAGGATCACAGTCCGCACCTGAAATTGGCAAGCTGCCCAAGATGTGTATGTCCGTATAAACAAATAAATTTAGATATTTTCATAAGCATGTATGTATGTATGTACGTACGTATGTCTGTATGCATATATGACCATGGATAGAGAGATAGATAGATAAATTGATTGATAGATTAGATAGATAGACAGAAAAATAGATAGATAGGTAAGTAAATAGATAGATAGATAGATAGATAGATTAGGTAGACAGATAGAGAGATACATAGATAGATAGATAGATAGATACGTGTGTATCATTATGTCATTATATGTGCGTCATGTGCGTATATATGTAGGATGATACACCATGATGTGCTTTGTCCCAGCTGCTTTACTTTCTGCTTGGACCTGCGTCGTCATGTTTATTGCGCCTTTCTCCGTCGCAAATCGCAATTGTAGTCGTCACTCTTGCCTTAATTGCACCAGTCGATAGGTTCAGGAGCGGTGCTGGTTGCCGCAGTGACTGCGACTGTTAGTTGCCGTCATGGATTTCGTTGCTGGTTGAGCCGAGCTCCTGCTCTCAGAATTATTCCCGGGCAGGCCGCGCCTGCCGCTCTTGCGCAGTCTCCCCGTCCAGCAAAAGAATCCTCAGCTACGATTGAACTGCTTTCCAGCTCGGGGCCTATGCAGCGACATCGAAGTGCACATGCACCCCTAAACCCTATAAAGCTAAAGCCCCATAAGATGTTCTGTCCGAGCCGCTTGCAGCAAACGGCTTTCCTCGGATCTCCCAGGCGCTCGAACATCGCGATTAAAGCCAAAGCATCAATCAGCTCTCGCGACAAATAGCCCTCAGGATTCCCAAGCAATTGATATCATGACAGCAGTGCAGCCCTCCGACGAAGATACGTAGAAAGCTTTGAAAGGGCCTATAGTGCTTAAACCCTAAACCCTAAACTCTAAACCCTAAACCCTGCAAGCCCTAAACCCTGTAGAAGTATAGAAAGGCTTGGGGCTCAGGGCTTGACGCCCACATGGGCCCAAGCATGCACCCACGCAGAAGCTGCATCTTAAAGCACTAAACCCTCTCTGAACTCCTGTGTAAAGCTTCTAAGCCCATAAACCTGCGGCTATAAACCCTATGAGCCTAAACTCCCATGTAAAGCCTCTCAAAACCCGAAACCCTAAAACCAATCCGCGGTGAAAGCCGAGTCTCTTTGCTCCGAGAGCCCCGGCGAGGGCCGAGATGAGAGCAGCGCATAGGGCGGGCTGCGGGGCAGGGTTGAGGCTTGGCGTTGGGGCTTATAGGGATATAGGGTGTAGGGATAGGGATATAGGGTTTAGGGATTAGGGTTTAGGGTCTAGGGTATAGGGTTTAGGGATATAGGGATATAGGGTTTAGGGATTAGGGTTTAGGGTTTACGGTGTAGGGTTTAGGGATAAGGGTTTTTGCTTGGTTGACCCTTGGAGTTGGGGTTTATAGGGTTTACTTGGAGGTTCATGGGTAGTTATAAGTGGGGTTATAAGTAAGGCAACTATAGGTACAACCCATATCAGGCGACTTATAACCCTACATATAACTACCCATGAACCTCCAAGTAGGGATAAGGGTTTTTGCTTGTTTTTTTTGGGGTGGTTTGGAGTTAAGTTAAGACTTCTCGGATGCGGGCTTCCGGGTTTGAGGAAACGGATCATCCACGGGGCTTCGGCCGTGGAAAACTCTCCTTTTCTCACTACGGATCGATTTCAACTGCTCTCAAAATCGTTTGTCGCTGGGGTCCGCTGTTCATTCACACCTAACCTACACCCGAGGCCCTAAACCCGAAACCCTGAACCCTAAACCCCAAACCCCGAACAAAAAAAGACACTAAAACTTGTCCAAAGCGGCCCCGGACCTACGGCTTAAGCTTGTGTAAGAAAACCCATGGTATAAGGATCCCTAGAAAGAGAGGCACTTCAGGATGCATGTGTTCTGAACCCCAGAGCCGGGCAACGGTCGAGGGGCCTAAATACTTACCTGTACCAATTTGAGGGTTCCTTATTATAACTATAGTAGAATAATATACCCCAAACCCCATTATAATTATTAAGGCCCCTGTGCTACAGGGGCCTAAATTTGGCCTAATACGAATTAGCAATCTCCCGTCACCCTCCCCATCAGATTCGGCCTTATCCAACAGAAACGCACCCAGTTGGCAGCCTGGGCGCGTGGCTTCTAGTTCCTGATTAATGTAGGGGCCTTAATAATTAGAATAGGGTTTTTGGGCCCAATATACTTATGTCATCTTATGTCCGTAATAAGGAACTCCCAAAATAGTATAAGTGTTTTTTAGACGCCTACATTACTCAACAGCACGACTTGCAGTGACGTCTCCTTTGCAAACGCATTGCAGAAGGACTCCGTCGGAAGCTGGCTTCTTATCGTTGCTCTTTGCTTCTTTTACCTAATGTAGGGGCCTTCTTTCTTTCAGGCAGGCTGAATGTCCGAGGGACGTGCCTAATGCAAACAAACACAATTGAATTCAAGGGTGAGACTGAAAACGGCGACTCCGCTCCCCTCGTTGGCTCCCGCAGCAGAATCCAACCACGTAGAAAGCGGCATCATGTCGTGGCGGGAAAGCGGAAAGCGGGCCAAGACCGGAAGCCCACGCCCCGCCAGCTGCAGAAGAACCGAAAGTGCATCCAGCATGATCTTAGTCCAAGAACACAGCGAACGCATCGCACGCAAGGTGCAAGGCGAAGGACTAAACACGGGAATGGCCTCGCGAGGAGGAGGGGGAAAGGAGACGCAAGCTCCCGAGACAGCGGCACAGCTCCAGGCAGAGAGCTCATCCAGGGCAACACCAACCACTGGAAGGCCATCAACAGAGACATCCCGAGCCCAAGCTGAGGAAAGCGCGCCGACACAGAGCAGAGGAGAGAAATCCAGGGCAGGCCAGCGACGTGGAGCGATCACAGCAGGGACATAGGAATCCTCAGGCTCCTCAGAGAGGGGGGTTCCGGCCACAGAGTCGCATAGGTGCTCGGGATGGAAAACCAACAGAACATCATCGCATGCCTGCTTAACTGGTCCATCAGCCAAGGTGGACCTCCAAGCCAACAACGTATTCCGAAGCACAGGCAATGGAGCTATATGTTGGCGGACGGCCGCGAAAATGGCCTCATCACAATCGCAACACGGAGGTTGCCAGGTAAGAAACTCAGCAAGCAAAGGTTCGCAGAGCTCTGTAGTTGGCACCCCGAGGGAACGCTTGCCAACGCCTGCAATGGCTGGGGCCAACTCGTGGGCCTTGGAGGTGTCGGACCGCACAGAGCCACAGACACGCATAGCCTCGATGCGCTGTACACAAACGAGGCTCAGACGCAGGTGCGTACGGAGTTTACGCTCGGAGGCCACCTGTAGTCCACATGCTTGGCAGGTGCGCCCACTCGCAATCAAGTGGGCGCGGGAGTGATACCCATGTGCTCTATGGGCATGGGCTCCCCACTGCTGTCTTGTCATAAAGGCAATGCGGCATGACAGGCAGGCGTGGGCGCAATTTTCCAGCAAAGAAGGTCGCGAGCCAGCCCGCTCGGGCCAGGAGGCACGCGCAAATCCATCAAGGAAGGAAAGTTGGGAGACACACATGCGGTGCCATGAATCCGCCCGCTTAAGTAGGGCCTTCCAGGAGTGGGAAGAAGTCCGAATGAGAGCTTCCCATGCCGGCCAATTGGCTTCGATGTCACCAAGATCACAAGTGGACCGAACAGCAGCCAGGAGCCACTGAGCGGCATCACGCAGAGCGCTTTTAAAATCCGTATACTGAGCCAACAAAGCCCATGCAGCATCTGGCCCATGGCAGACAAGCTGTCCAAGGAATCGAAGACGCTCCAAGTGAAGGAGGCCCTCCGGTGAGGAAAGGCCGGTTCGGTGAAGGATTTGTGAGCTGGTGCACCGAAAACCACCACTTTGCCGGAGACACAGAAGTTGCCGATACAGGCTCATGATCCCTCCAGAAAACAAGCTCCATTCCTGCCCACACAACTGCCGCCAAGTGCCGGCTCCCGGCAGCACCGCGGCAAGTACGTGCACACGGAAAAGGGTAGCACGACGCTCAATGGGTATGCTGCGACAGGCGAAAAGGCGCTGCTTGCCTTCATGCATGGCTGATCGGCCAGCAGAGAGCCTATGCCGAATTTCCTGCATGAGGCATCCATCATGAGAGACCAGAGATCCCAGATGTTTGTACGAGGCAACAACGTCCAGACGGAGACCACCTTTTGTTTCCGGCAGAATGATAAGCTTGCCCTTGCCTTGGCTGAAGAGTTCGCGACGGACCGCACGCGATCCTCTGCCCACAGGAACCACAATGGCTGCCGTCTTTGTAGGCCCCATATTGGCATTGAGGCCATGCGGAAGAAATGTATCGATGGTGTCCGCTGCGACTCCTGACACGGCCTTAGCAATTTCATCCGCCCGGTCGCAGACAAGAAAACTGGCCAAGTCATCCGCGTAGACCACGTCGCTAGCCTCGACCGCCATCGAAGCTGGAGCACGTGGATCGGGCGAGGCCCAGGGCGACCGACAACCGTTCCACGGAACGCGGGGCACAAAAGGGCCAAGTGTAGAGGAACATCTGCGTCCAAGGACCTTACTGAAGAGGATATTAAAGATAATATCCGCCAAGGACCCGCCGGGCCGCGTGCCACGGCACGTCTCAATGATACGGCTATCACCAGCCATGACAAACCACGTATTGCGGTGCAGCTCCTCCGCGACCTCCTGGAGCAAGGTGCAGGCTCCTTGCTGCCTTAAGACCGGAGCATGCTCGACGTAGTGCTGGAGAAGCTGTAGGTCATCATCGGTGAGTCCGAGGGATGCCACCAAGGCATCAAGTGGCCTTGAGTGCACATTGGCGCCAAGTACAGCTTCGCGGACAACGCCATAGTAGGCTGCAGCAATGTCGACAAACAAAACGGCAGCCGATCTGCCAGCCGCCCGCATCACAGACAAAAATGCACGCGAACAGAAATGTCCAAACGCAGCAGGGCAACCTTTCTTGCCACCTATCTGCAAAGGGAGAGCATGCTGCTGCCAGTGTTCCACCGCCAAGTGCCGAGCCGCACGGTGAAGGACTTTCGAAAGACACGACTGTACGAGAATGCCTCGATAGCCTGCGGTGGTGTTTTCGACTGCTGACGGCTTCGCAATCCGGTGGAGGATGCCGCCTTTTAATCCGATCGCTTCATTGGATCGGAGCACTGCCTTAAGCATGACTGGCCAGAAAGCCTCCGTCAGCTTTTGGCTGAATAGGGAGCACATGATCGGAGGAAGGAGGTCAGGGCCAGACGCCTTATGCGGAGCCGTGGCCTTAAAGGCGGCCTGCAGCCTCGACCATGTCGGGATGGCAGCCGCATCGACGGTGTCAGACCCCTCAAAGGCCAACTGCCGACTACGACAAGTTTGGGCTAGAGTCGCCGCATCAGTCTCCTGCCCGGCCTCAAGCACGCGAAAATGCTCGCGCCACACCGTTGCGATCTCTTCAGCAGAGGTGCAGACAGTACCGTCCGCCTTCTTAAGCATGGGGAGAGGAGCCGCTCCCTTCCCCCGATACTTCTTGGGACGCATGATCTGTCTGACAGCCTGATGCAGATCTGCAGAAGGAGAAGCCTCGACCTGTGCCGAGAGGCGAAACACATGCGCTTTGCGATCGGAGCGGCAGCTTTTGCGCAAACATAACCCAAAACGGCGTAGGAGAACACAGTCTAACGCACGCCGGATCTGAAGGCGCCAAAGCCACCGCCCAGTAAAGAAAGCATGGAAGGGCTGCGAACCGACGCGCCAGGCGGCGAGGACACATCGAAGCATAGCACAGCGGTAAGCAGCGCTCCTATTGCGCAGTGAGTGCCGAAGACCAGCGACAAGTTCATGAAGGCGGGTCGTCTCAGGTGAAAAATGCGAGGCGCGCATACGCCTGCGCTCCTTGGGGAATGCAGCCACAAGCTGGCGGTACAAGTGGTCGGTCAACAAAGCAGCATGTTCGCTGGCATCAACAGTCCAGGCAGGGCAGGGCGCGGAGGAAATGATGCTTTCAACAGCCGCACGGTTCTCAGGAAGGGCAAGGGCCTGCGGGTCTACTCGTTTGGATTTAGCAGCCCGGCGATGAGTAGAGGGAGCCAGGGTAACAGACACCGCAACAGCGAGGTGATCTAGGCATTGATGACCTGCTGAAACAGAGGGCTCGACCCAAGCAGTGCAGTGGCGGAGCGACCAAGAACCGGGAATAGCAACAAAGTCGGAACGATCCCATGCACCATTTCGGCGTTGGTAAAGAGTACCGCCAGGGCCCGAGGCGGTAGCAGTGAACGTAGATGGGACCCAACACCCGAGAACCTCTAGGAGGTCGCGGAATAGGGCTCCTCCAAGGTCTTCCACATCAGCTTGATGGGGGCCAATGCCAAAACTCTCGACATTGCCCACGCGACAATTGCCGTCCACGAGGACAAGCCAAGCAAAGTCGCGAGCATGAGAAGAGCAGATCTGCGTGACTCGAAGCCACCAGGACCGGCGGTCGGCAGCCGTGTGCACCCGATGCGGCGCGTGAGCAACAAGAACGCGCAGAGGCGAAGAGCGGAAGGAAAGCCCGGCAAGGAGGAAGGTAGGCTCGGCATGTAGAACGGTGACCGAGTCAGGATCAAAAGGTCCTTTCTCGGATATCCACAATTCGACACCATAGCAAGCATTATCATCTCGACCTGATGCAAACCTCCGGTAGTGTTGACAGCGCATGCTTCCCCTGGGGGTACGGCACTCCTGAAGACCTGCAATGCCAACATCCAGGCCCGCAAGAGAGGAACTCACAAGCGACACGCGTCCGGATGCCCCATGCAAGCCTGCAGCATGGGCAGGGCCGCCCGAGTCCAACAGCGAAAGCAGGTTAAAGGAAACGATATTAATGACCACGGCTGGGGCAGCGCATAGTGAGGGCCTGCGACCAACTGCATCAAACGCCCGCAGGAAAGGGGACAGGGTGTCCGAGAGGGTCATACCAACAGTAGTGGCATGGCGGCTCCAAGCCATAAGGCCGCCTCGGAGATCGGGCACAGCTCGAGGGGCTTGACGCGCAAAGCAAATGTGTGGCAACCAAGCAAATGCCGCTCCATCATGGGCAAACCAGGATTCTAAGTCATCGAAGGTCAGCGAAGCGCCGAGACCATTTCCCTTTGAAGCCTGCCCGGCTATCGCATCAGCTAGCTCATTGGCCGGATCGGCCGAGTGACCAGGAACATGCTGGTAATGAGGAGAAGCCTGCAGAAGGCGCAGAGAACTATGCAAGGCATCTGCCGCCTGACAAAGAGGGTGGACCTGCATACGTACAATACCCTCGGCACCCTGCAAGGCACCGATGTTGTCGGCTCGGAACACTCCATGCAGGAAGCCAGGCAGACGAAGGGCAAGAACAGCCCCCCAAAAGAGAGCCGCAACCTCAGCAAGGTAGGCGTTGTAAGATGTGAACGCGGAACCAACGGCATCGCGGAGTACATCAAGGTTCCCAGAGAAGCATCCAATGAACTGCCCTGGAAGCAAAAGATCTTCACTGGAAACAAGACTGACAACCACACCCCAGCCAGCTCGCCCAGTGCACGGGTCAAAGGAGCCATCCGTGGTGATAACAACGAGCTCGTCGGGGGCTGGTGCTCTGCCAACAGTACCTGAGGAAATCCAAGTATCAAAGCGTTCGGGCGCTGGCAAGAAGCCAGCTGGGCCGCGAAGATTGTGATACGGAAGGGCCCGCTTTATGAAGTCGAGCATGTCGTCGCGACAAGGGAGAACACACTGGCGCGCATCGAGGTCAAAGACATCAGGCGGAGCAGAAGCACTCGAACTATACGCAGCATTGGGGAACTCCGAGGACTCGCTGGCATCCCAGTCGGCTTCCCCAATCAGGGAACTGAGCACAAGAGTAGTAGGCACCTCGCGTGGGTGGGCATGATGCTGAGGCATGCCAAAATGCTCGTAGAGAGTCTCAGCTAGCGTGGCAGCTAGAAAGAAGGCCTGACAGCCAGGGCGCCTGGCAGCATGCTCCAGGAGCGTACAAGGTTCGTCAATCCAGTCCCCGATTACCGCATCGAGAGTGCATGAGGAGGGACGAGAGGCTCCAGACTGTCTCAGGGGCTCTGAAGAATAAGTGGAACCGACAGCACGGCAAGGCGTCGCAATCGCACGAAACGGAAGAGCGCCTGTGCCATGACTGATCCCCGTTTCCAAGTGCCCAACAGCCTTATGTTCACAAATCAGGGGCAGTTGGACAGCCTCCACAAGGCCCCAAGGGGGAACCTCCAGTAGGACCAAGATACAGAAAGACAGGCCGAGCCCTAGAGGTTTGCCATGTCGGCCAAACCCAACAAGTAAGACGAGCCCAAAGCGCAATAGGGATGCGAGGAACAACGGAGCCAAAAGCTCCACAATCCCAATCACTCCAAGAAGAAAGCAGAGGCAAGCGCTTGTGTCCCTATGACAGGGAGGGGGCAAGAGATGCCGTGGGCACACGTCAGGTGTAGCCATGCAGGCAGACCGCCCATCATGTGCGCCAGCATGACCTTGGGCTGTCCCCCTGACAGCAGGCGAAGGAGACTGACGCTCAGCGTCTGTTGCAGGCCCCTCAACATCCTCGTTAGGAGGGGGACCGGGGTCCTGTATATGGCCTGCAGGCGAACCAATGCCATGTCCAGGTTGTACAGGAGAACGCGTAAGGCGAAGCTCAAGGACTTGGCCACTCGGAATCCAGATCCACTGTTGTTCCCAAAGGCATCCCGATACTTCGACGAACCAACCTGGAGGGGCCAGCCAGCTGAAGCGATCAATTAATCCAAAAAGGTCAACCCATCCATCACGGACCGAAAAGCGCCGCCAACCACGCAAGAGGGGCCTGCAGTCCAACAGCCCTACCGTGTATGCCTGACCTCGGTCCCAACACGCCTGACCAATGGCAACAACGGCTTGGCTGACTCGACCAAAGCAGGCAGCATCGACCTGCCGTGGACTAGATGGAGTAAGAGCAACCTGGAACGGATCAACTTGAAAGAGGGCGGCAACATCAGCACGGTAATGCGCAGCCCGAGAGGGGTGCAAGCGGAAATTGCGAACACCTGTTTCGGCAACCACACAATAGCATGCAACATCCTCCTCAACTGGAAAGGGCGGTTCAGTAGCCCATGGAAGATGGGAACACAACATGCCCGCAAGAGAATAGCCCGGGGAGGGCTCGGCATCTCGAGGCAAGTATCGTACACAGTGACCCGTGGCAAGAGACACAAAGTCAGCATCGTCCAGTGGCCGAAGAGTGCCTGGTACGTAGACATCAATGTCCGCAAGAGGAGCTAGACCAGCAACAGCCAGAAGATCGGCCTTTCCCAAGCGGGTGGGGGCACGGGCCGCAAAAATCCGGCCATCATGCATAGTGAGGTCCACTCCAATCACAACCTCATCCGAAAGCCAGGCGGGACAGAGAATAAGGACTCCCCATCTGGGGTCGGGTTGAGGCCATGCAGGTGCCAGCAGGGGAAATGCCTCGCGCAAATCTCCTGATCGACAGGTGTCAATCAGGTCAAGGGCGTCCTCGAGGCCCTGCGGAATAAGAAGCGTAATCCGGATGATGTCTGGCCTGTAGTCAGGGGCCAAAAGCACAAAGATGACCTCGGTCAGAACCTCATCGGGCAAGCCGGACGACTCCGCATCAAAATCGTCAGCGGGAGCAGGGAGACCATACGCATGGTCAGCAGGCATAAGGGGCCAGCGGTATCCAAGCCTTTGTGTGGCAGCTTGTGCCGCTCGAACAGCCTGGAAAGCCCCTTCACCAGTGCTAACGGCCTCCTGAAGAAGTTTGCAGCCAAGAAATGTAGACGGCAGTGACCCCTTGCAGACGCCAAGAAGCAAAGGCTCTGTGCAGACCGCACAGAAAGCACCAAACCTCGAAAACTGACCATGGGCAACATGAAAGTCCACAGGGCAGGCAGAGGGTCTGGCGGAAAGGGGAAGGCAGAAGACCTTGAGAAAGAGCTGTCGGAGGACAGGGGTGAGGCATCGCTTGCCCTCAAGAAGGGCGTGTTGCATGGTAACGACGCTCCACATGTCATCTCGACGACAGCAGCTGGACACTTCCGCGGGAGAGGCGGTAATCGCCCCTGAACAACCTGCAACCCTATCCCTGGGAGTACGACTGCGATTGCGACCCCGGTTGCGTGGATCCCTACGGTTAGGCCGCCCCCTACCTTGACATGAGCGATCAGGGCCCATATCCGGAGGTGGGGCCCCGGGATCAACATCAGACCCAGAATCGTTGGTGCCCAAAAGATCCTCCACGTACTCAACAGTCAGGAGATGGCCATCCTGAACAATGAAGGCAACCTCAGCCTCATGATGAGTAACGTCGGCACCTGTGACAGCCACAAGATGCTCGGGAGGACATGCTGCCTCAAACATCGCAGTGACACGTCGGACGGGGACAAACGGTTGATCCGAGAGGAGCCACATAATACCTTGGAGCACCCGACGTGCATCGACAAAAATGACGAGGCGCGGGTCACGAAAGCGGGCAGGCGGTATAGGGAGTCTCTGGACCCGCTCGGTGGCAACAATGACGCCACTGGTAAGAAACCCATCAAAGAAGCCATCGATGATCCTGGGTACAGAAGGCCTGAGTGTCAGGCGGTGCTCCGCAGTTGACAAGTGATCAGCAAGGTCAGCTCGGAATGCGGGGCGCCGACCAGGGTGCACCTCGAAGCGAGTAGGCTGGCCGTCAGTGAGTATCCAAAAGAACTGGCCAGGTACACTCCCTGGGCCAGGGACTTCGACCGTTGCACCCCAGCCGTCACTCGAAGACAATTGCTCGGCGAGCTCAAAGGTTGCAGGAGCTCCAAGAGCCGGAACAACAAAGGAAATCAGCAAACCATTGACGAGGGTGAGGGCTTGCTGTGCGCGCAGCGGTTGCACCAATCCATGCACATACACGTCCATCGCACTACTGCCTGGAAGGCCCGCCGCAAGGAGCAAGGATTCCCTGTTGGTTCGAAAGTCAAGGACCCGGGCAAAGAGAGCACGGTTAATGCCTCGGCAATCAAGGAGAACAGTCACCTTCGAGGTGAGCCAACCAGGCGCCGCAACTGCAACGACACAGTCAGGAAGGGGCTGAGGAGACACAGCAGCCATATTGGGAAAGTTGACGACGGCATCAGCTGTGCGTGCCGCAGCAAAAGCGGCCATCGCTGTGTCAACACTGCAGGGCAGAAAGGCAGACGCTTGGAGCATTTCCGGTGCAAAGTCTGGCATATAAACAAATGCACAGAGCCTCGTCGGCCCATGAGCTTCTCCGCTGACATCGGCTGCGAGCAGTTCATCTTCAGGAGGGCGATCGTTCAACTCGCCAACACTGCTCGAGTCCACAGCAGGAACATGGCCAGAAGCAGGTGGCTCAAGCGGCGGACCGGGATTAAAAGCTGCAGGGACAAGGCCATCATTTGTGTCCCATTCGTGCTCGAATGCAGCCGGCGGAGCAGCAACCCATGGAGAGGTGGCACCCCCATCTGTGACGTTCCAGCTGTGCCCTGCTGGAATAGTCGTATCAAGGTCCGCGCCAGCCTCAGGAAGAGGACTGAGACGAGTCCACTCGGGCACCGCAACAGATAACCCGCTATCAACAGGGGGGAGCTGCGCAAGGTGACCGCCATCAATAGAAGCAGCGGAGCCACGGCTGATGGCGTGGAAGAGAAGGGTAGAGCAACCTTGAACCTCCACATAATCACCTTCAACATGTCCACCTACAATGCCGATCCTGTGAGTCGAAGGAAGCTCAATTTGGAAGTTGGACAGCAGACTCGGCACATGAAGCTTCGGAACGTTGGTGTGCATGAACTCAGGCTTAAAGCCGAGAGGACGCAAATCACACAAAGTGAAGACATCGTGCCGAGCGCGCGTCGCCTCACCATCGAGGAGAGGAGGCCGATCAACGAAAGTGACAAGCCTAGGGCAGTACCACCCCTGCACATCCAAGCCAGGTGTCATGAAGGTACAGGCCACGAGCAGGTTGACATCAAGCCGAAGGCTATTGGCAACATGCTCAATGATGGTGCTACCATAATGGTGGTGTTCCCGCACGCAAAAGCGATGGCCCCGATGGATGACACAAACACTCTCGTACACTTCTGGTGCAAAGAAGTGACACATAGGCCCCCATTTAGAGCGGTCATGAAGAGCTTCATGCCTCCATCGTCCAAAAGTTGCAGGTTGACGGGTAACGGTAATAACATCACCGTCGTTCAAACTGACAAGGGCTGCCTCTGGCCATGGATAGTTGCGGCATCCGACATAGATGCTCAACGGCTCCTCGTCATGAGAGGTAAGTGGAACGATGAAATCATACAAACTGGCATAAGACGTATGCCTTGGGAGCACAGAGGCAAAATAATGGCCGCCGACCCGTGTCAGGTCGAAAACGACTGCAGATAGGCCTTCTCCAACTTGACTGAGGTGACTGGGGAAGCGAATGGCGGACAAGTAGCCCTCAAAACGTTGGGGGCGTAGCGCCACAACCTTGTCCATTATTCCATAAGGCACACCTGGGGCACAGTCAAGGGCCGTCTCGAGGACATCATGGATCCGCGTGTCATCCGCAACCTGAATGGCGAACGAAACAGGGGCGTAGTAGGGCGTGTAGAGATACACGCCCAGCCAATGAGAACCCTGCCCGTTGATGGGCCCGCCATCCGGCCAGTCACGCCCATGGACAGCTATAGCTTGACCAGCACGGCTAACACGATCCGTATCACACCAAGGCACGGCAGGCAAAGAGCCGCCGACATAGGAGGTAAGGGCCTCGGGGTGGATAGCATGCAGGGCCCTGCTCGGAGCACCAGCAGAAGCTGCGCCAGTCACTGCCTGAACCGAAGGCAGTGAAAGCAATAGTACGGTCAGCGCGGATCCATGCGGGCAAGAGAAGACAGCCATAGGCAAGCTGCTGCAACCGAACAGAAGAACGCAAGCGGAGTACATCTTGTTCAAGCGTGTGCCTCCGACAAGGTGCCTCCTGCTTGCTTTGGCAACACGGCCCTTACGATCCCTCCAAGGCTTCCACGACAAGACGGCAGAACCTGGAGACGCGAAACCGAAGGAGAACGCGAGAGAGCAGGCAGTAGCCGGCGAACGGCGTCCAAGAAGCTGGCTCCGAAGTAAACAAACCAAGGCCAGAAAGACGAGCAAAGCAAGCGTTCTGGCAAAGGAGGCGAGCAGCTCCACCAAAGAATCAAGGGCAAATGTCCAGAAAGACAGCGTGGAGCCCAAACATAGACAGGGCATAAGTTCCTGATATGCATGGGCACCGTAGGGGTGCATGGTCCACGTCTCCCAGACACGGGTACCCTCATAGGAGAAAGGCCTCAACCCTAAAGAGAAGGCCGAGCAGAAAGTGCATACTCCCTTGGCTGATGTCCCAGAGCCACCGATACATCTATTAGGCGCCAGCGGAGAGAGGCAGGGGTAAGTGCAAAAGCTAGGGTAAAGGACCCACAGTGCACGGACACAGGTACCCGTACAGGAGGGGGGCCTAAACCCTATGGGAGAGGCAGAGCGAGGGGCAGGCGAAAAGCCCGGACAGGGACAAGGCACAGGCTCCTGGCATGTGTAGGCATCCCTACCAAGAGAAGGCCTAAACCCTAGGGGAAGAGCAGGGTTGGTCCCTTTGTCGAGAGTCCAAACATGATTGCACGTCCGTTGCAAGGGTGAGTCGCAATCCCTGAGATGCGGGCCCAGCGGCCTGAAGCTGAGACCCCTTGGAACAAAGGGGGAAGCACGATGGCTAGGGCGTAAAGTCCATGCATCGCGCACACAGGTACCCTGACAAGAAAAAGATCTAAACCCGAGGGGAAAGATCGGTCGTGAGATGCAAACTCCCGTGGCTGATGTCCCCGAGCCACCGATACATCTATTAGGCGCCAGCGGGGAGAAGCAACGGCTAGCATAGCAACTGGGGTGCCAAACCCAGAGTGCACAGACACAGGTACCCTTACAGGGGATGGGCCTAAACCCTAGGGGAAAGGCAGAGAGGGTGATGCTAACTCCCTTGGCTGATGTCCCAGAGCCACCGATACACCTATTAGGCGCCAGCGGGGAGAAGCGTGGACAGAAGAAGCAGCAGGGGTAAAAGACCCACAGGGCACAAGCACGGGTACCCTTAAGGGGATTGGGCCTAAACCCTAGGGGAAAGGCTAGATGCAGGATGCGGACTCCCTTGGCTGATGTCCCAGAGCCACCGATACATCTATTAGGCGCCAGAGGGGAAGAACGCAAGTGCAGGAGGAACCTGCCGCAGAAGAAGTCCAAGAATGACATGACCTGCAAAGGGAGAGGACCGCCAAACCCAGGCGTAAGTCCAAAAACAGGGCGAGGAGGAGCGAGAGCCGCAGAACTATACAGGCTCCACGAGGAAAGTCCATAGCTGAGTGAAACGCTAAAATACTCAGCAAGCTCAGGAAGAGGAAGTCCTGACTCAGGACAAAAGCGAATGCGAGAAATCCACCCAACAGGCAACTGGTCATACCGAAGAAAAAGCTGCACACCCATCAGCAGCAATTCTCTGGATAAGACCGGGCCCACTAGGGGATAGCCGCAAAAGCCAGAGTCCGTCGGCAGAGACCTCCCAAGAAACGAGCCATTCACTCGAGTCGACCGAATCCGGGCGAACGATCCGTTTGCGAGAGTTCGTCGGCATCGTCGTCTAGTAGCACACCACCCGGATCGATCGTAGCCGGGGCCTCGCCTGAAGCAGGAACAGGTGGAGCCGCTGAAGCATCCTCGGGAGGGCCCAATGGCCTGCCGGTACCAAAGGGGGCAAGGGCGTTGCGTAGAGATCGCCTCTTTCCAGAAAGCTTGCATGCAAGAGAGCTCTGCCCGACTGAAATCTCTGCATGGGTAACTGGAACCCGCGGATCTGCAAGACCAGGTGGCCCGCGCACAATGCTCGAGGGAGCTCCCTCTGTAGGCATGGGCGATGGCAGGGGATATGCATCCATGGAGGCGGCAGGGGCGCTTGTGGGAGCCGGCGAAGAAGTAGAGCGCGGAGGCGTATGAGGAGGAGCTCCTGTGCCACGGGGCGGAGTGGCCACCGCAGGATGCGGGGGAACCTTCTGCAGCATCCGCGCAAGCTCGGTACGGCACTGTTCCTCCGTCAGGTCGTCCACGTCCATCGCAGTCTCCCATTCCAAGGGCGGAGGGGGCGCTGGAGCAGGTTTCTGCAACAAAGCCGCCTCCTGCACAAGCTGGTAAGCCGCCTGCGTTTGCGTTTCGAGCTCCCGAATCTCGGCAGCTAGGCGCTGCTGCTCCGTCTTGTAGCGCTCGAGCTCTTTGGCGTACTGTTCTCTCATTTTCAGTACCCACGCATCCCAGGCCTGGCCTCGCTGTAGTGTTTCCTTCTGTAGCTTCTGAAGCCGGCCTTCCAGCTTCCGGGCAAAATTTACTGCATGCTGCACGTCCTTGACTATGCCACCAGACGGCGGAGCAGGGTGCGTGGCTGGATCGGAGACCGTCATGATCTCCGTGGCCTGTCTCCATCCTGCATCGTATGCAGGGAAACTCGAGGTGGCCTCCTTGGTTCGGCTCCGCGGTGACTGCTTCCAGGAGCCTGACCATAGTGACCAGTTTCCACCACCATTGTATTGTCCATCCCCGCCATAGCTTTGTTGGCGCCATGGTCGCGTGTCAGCACGGCCCTTGTTCTTGCCCATAAGGGCTCGCAGCGAAACTCGTGCACGAAGAGGCGGGCACGTGCTATGGTGCACTGCCAAGAGCCAGCGTTGCCGGGGAGCTGGATGTTCGCCGCGGCGAATGTGCAGACGAGCTTTAGAGCGACGGGCTCGAAGACGTCTGTGCCAGCCCGGGGAGGGCGTGATGGAGGCGCACCCGAAAAAGGGGGTGCTGGGGCACTACGATGTTCCCTACAGCTGCGCTCCGCTGTCGGGCGATTCGGGCCCTAATGTAGGGGCCTTCTTTCTTTCGGGCAGGCTGAAGGTCCGAAGGACGTGCCTAATGCAAACAAACACTATTGAATTCAAGGGTGGATTGCACCTAATTAAAGGTCACAAACACCCACAGCCGCTGTATGTACTCGAGACTGTTAAACAGGACCCGGAACAGAAATCAGCGGAGCAGTGGGGTTAACGCAGGAAGCTGCAAGAGTGATTTAACAGGCGGCACCACGGCCGAAAAGCCTTCCACTGTGCAGCTGGTCCTGCCGTCAAAACCAAAAGCCCCGCAGAAGTGAAGTTTACCCTCACTCTGAGTGCCAAAACCGTGTCAGAATGAAGCTTCAGACTGCGATGCTCACCCAATCCCAACCAAACACTCCCAGCTGAAGCTTGCCCTCAACTGGGGAGTGATTGGGGGCGCCTTGGTGCTGAAGTTGGCCACTGCGGCATGGTCATCGTTTGACACAACATCACCACGGCGGTCCGAAGGCAGTGGTCCATCCGGTCGGATGTCAGGCTGCATGCAGCAGAGCTCCCAACAAACGTTGCCGCTCAAGCTGTCCATCGTGGTGCCCGAGAGAGACGACCCACCACGTAGTGTCTCCCACACTCCCTGCAGAACAGCAGACAAGGCCATCTTGCTCGGCGCACATTGACCACCGCTAGCCCCACTGCAGAAGGTAACGTAAGCGTCATGTCTACCACCTATCGCTTGGTCTGAGGGCTGTTGTCCATCAGGCAGAACGCCATGCTCCAGACAGAAAAACTCCCAGCGCAGTGTGTCGAGCTGTACGTCGCCATGACTCGTGGCCAGGCGGTCATGCAGCGACTCGAAGAGAATCCTGCCCCGATCAGACTGCCTCAAAGCACCAGAACCAGGAATCGGTTCCCATTTTCCAACATGCGGATCACGCACCTTGGCCAGCTGGTGAGCAGGCAACGCCGTCACGCGATACCCCATGCCCCGATGCACGACATAATGCTCAGCAAAACGTTTGATATCTGCTCGTCTGTGATAGAGACTCGTCCCCAGCCTTTCCTCCAGCTTTAAGCGCAAAGCCTTAAGTGACACCGCTCCTCCAGCAAGCATCTCAGCAACGACCTGTCCCACCTGGTCCTGGAACAGCGTTCCGGCTCCTGACGTTCCCAATTCCTCGAGGGCCATTGCGAGGGAACTGGGGCTACAGTCTTCCGACGCTGGTGTCGGCGATCTGAGCCCTATATAGTGGCCTTATTAACTAGAATGGGGTTTGGGGGTTCCTTTTAAAGGTTCCTTTAAGGGATACTATACGGGCTACTATAAGGGTTTCGGGTTTAGGGGCCTTAGTAATTAGAATAGGGGTTTGGGGCCCTTTATAGTACTATACTATTATTTTTCGGACCCCCCCCCCCAAAAAAAAAAAGAAAATAGTATAGGTAATTATGGAGGCTTCTCTATTAGGGTTGTGCTGGTAGGGTTTTGGTGTTTAGGGTTTCAGGGTTTTACCAGGGTTCTTCATGATTTGTAGCGTATCAGGCTTTTAAGGTTTATTGTTTGTAGTTTGTTTTCAGTTTATATGGGTTTTGACAACAGCACTTTGGAGATTTTTTGTTGGGTGTTAGAAGGGTTCTATAGGGCACTGTGGGTTTTAGCGGGGTCCATAGACCCCTAAACCCTAAACTCTGAACCCTAGAACCTTAGAACCCTCAACCCTAAACCCTAGACCCCTACACCCTAGAACCCCAGAAGCCTAAACCCTAATTAAACCCCTAAACCCTAAACTAGACGTGTTGGACGGGTCTCTAAACCCCAAATCCCCTAAACCCTAGAACCCTGAACCCTTAAGGCCCTAAGCCCTAAACCCTTAACCCTTAACCTTACGTGTTGTCTCTTGGGGGTTAGTTTGGGGCCCAAAGGCCGCTGCAAGGTCTTGGATTTAGGCCCGTTTAGGGGTTTTGGGGTTCTAGGGCTTAGGGTTTGGGGCTTTAGGGTTCCAGGGTTTAGGGTTT